TAGGTTACCCATTTATTTTATTTGAAAGGTTGCTTTGCAGTAGAATTCTTTTTGTGGAAAATAGTGATGTTTTCCAGCATGGGAAAAGTCTATTTAACACATATGATGTGAGTCTGGCTGTATAGATGCACTCATCCACTGGAAAAGCAGGAAGGATCTTTCAGTACTCTATTGAAGAGTCTATTTGTCAGTCAAAAACTGACACTAACACTGTCACAAAGACTGCTCACTGCAGTATTTTTCAAGTCAGAATATTATGTTCTCTATCAAGGTAAATAGTTGTATCGAGCTATTTTCAGGAAGTTGGTTTCTTGAATTTTCACTACAGTGTTTGTAGTAAGTGGGAATTTTACTAGGATTTCAATAAGAAATAGTCCATTTAATATTTTCTTTTGATTCTGTGACAGCTGCGAAAATAATAGGGTTCTAACAACAGGTTTTGCTCTGCAGACTAGAACATCAAATCTCTGGACCAGAAAATATTCTTACTTTAGCATTTGACAGCAATCAGTCAAGAGCAAGAGATGATTATTCCTCTTGAACACTAAAAGCACTATGATGTGTAAAAACACTTTGTGCAGGTGTTTTGGGTTTATTTATTGTTTTCACAAGCTGCACTTAGAGTGAATTTTCTTCATGTTTGATCAAGTGCATTTGTTGGATAAACTTTGCAATGACATTTCTGTTAGGTGAAGCAATATAATGGCAATGACTCACTGTGCAAATGAATTCTTATTTTTCAGACTATGATCTTTCAAAGCTGAGGGAATTCATTGATCAGCAAGCTGATGCTTATGTGGACAAGGGCATCCTGGACAAGGAGGAGGCTGATGTAATTAAACGCATCTATGGCAGCCTGTAAAAGTCAGTGGCTGCCAGACATGTAGAAAACTAGTCTAGTTTCCCCCACTCTTGGCTCAGTGACTTATGATCTGTTAATTTGAGGATATCATTAGAAATGCTCTGTTTACATTGTACTGACAACTTTCTAGACAGCAATGAAGAGCTGTAGTGCTCCATTCACCCTCTGCATCCTGTATTTTCCTACATTCACAAATCAACCCTAAACACCAAATTCTGACAGTGAATTTCTATTGGATAGGGTCAATATTTCTGTAATGCTCTCCTTGATTTATTATTTATATTTGGTTTACTTTTGTAGATCAACCAATTGTTTCTGATGGAAAGTTCTTTTAATGCTACATCTTTTTGCTCACACTCAACAAGCTTTCTATAGATGCAACTATGTAAAGGGCATTATTAGAAAATAGTTCATAGTTCTCTAAATAAAATATTTGAAAATTATTTACTTATTAAAGTTTTCATTAATCCTAATATTATTTTATATTCAGAAATTTTGTGTTTAAATCTTAATATCTTTTATTTGATCCTTTTTTATTTCTTTATGTAGTATCCTGTAATTTGGACTGTAGTGTCCTTAGCTAACTGATAAATCTTTGACATTACCATTGCCTTTCATATTACAGAACTGTATTCTCTTCTTCAGCATGTAGGAACATTCTCTTTGGTGCACCATTTGATGATTGTGCATGCATAATTAGTTGAATTCCTGATGTGAGTATCCTGATAGCAAGTGTAAATAGCTGTTACTTTCTCTAAAGAAAAAAAAAAAAAGGAAAGCAATTCAAGTTATTTTGCATGGAAAGGGAAGTTTGCAACTGGAGATGTTTTTAGGAACATAGGCCTTGCTTTTCAGAAAGATTTAAAGAATCTATCATATCTCAGTGTCTCTGAATATCAAGGCTGTGGTCTCTTTACTGACCTCTGCTCTGTGTTGAGCAGTATCATCTTGCAAATTTTCTTTTTTTTTTTTTTGCTTATATAGATGTTGTCATTAGCCAAGAATTTGGTACTTCCCAATGAAAAAGGAAAACAAAAATGTCACCCTCATTCTTCTTCCTGAACTTACATAGTTTTGGAAGAATGGCTTATGGGGTCTTTTGTCTTTAAGTGAATGGATCATTTTATATATGAAGAACTCATAAAACAAGATCAAAGGTAAGGAAGTTTTTAGAAAGGGAGATTTTAACCTGAGTTCCGGAAGATGTAAGTCCTGAGACTTATCACCTGCAGCAGTTATTTGTGTAGATGAACTCCAGGAAAACCCTGTTCTCTTTACTTACAGATTCTTCATTGATAATTGAGGTTATCCCTCTCTGATTTTTTAAAAAACACCTTATGATATCTCTGAGATTGATACAGTTAAAAAATGTCAGCTGATGCAGAGGTTGGAATCTGCCTGCAGTGAAGGGAGATACTGACTTACAGCACTGCCTGCACAGCACAAAGTTCTCTAATGTTAAAACACTTCCTTGGGTCATTTCCCTTCTCATTTTCTTAGCATAGCTGGAGATTAGGGAGGAAGAGATTTGAGCAATGAAGTAAACTCTGGAATCTCTGAAAAACATAAATGATCAACTGATTATTGATAAATTATCAACTGATAACCAATATTAAGTGAATGTGATGGTAGTGAGGTATAACAGCACAACTCTTTGCAAACTGATGACACATAAGCTGGTGAATGGTTTGTGCAGACAGAGTACGTCACTGGCTGCTCACACACATCCTGATATGAATCACTGAACTGCAGTATCAGTCACTAATGGTGATTTAATTTTTTAAGGCAAAAACTGTATCCAAAAACGTAGTCAATATAAGCTTCCTCTTTAAAAAATAGTCCCTTAGGAACTCTAGAGAAAATAATTAGGGAAAAGAATTCCTGTTATTTTGAATCGGTGTATTTGTTCTCATCCAAACCCTCTAATTTGTTTATTGTTATTTGCTAATGTTCCCAAAGATCCAAATTTCTTGTCCCTGTGGATCTCAATTGTGTTCTGCAACAGCTTGTGACTTATTTTCCTATGTGACTATCACACAGGAAAGGCAGACTGATTCACAAATATGGATTTTTGAAAGAAATCAGGAGAACGGTAACTAACTAACTGTAGACCTTTAAAGCAGTGATCAAGGATCTGCATGAGAAAAAACAAAAAAGGACAAACTTTTCTTCCCCAATAGTTACTTTAAAAAAGACCCCAAATTTTCTTCTCCTGTCAATATAATGAGTAGTATAATAATATTTTCAATTTTCATTGTAAGTTAGTTTCTTACTTTGGTCTCTCATGAGTCTGGTACTAATGGGAAGATGTCATCAGCTAGTGACCTGTGATTATGACCAGTATGTGTCCACAAAAAGGGTGGTGCCATATTTGTTAATCTCTCAGTTTTGCAAATTCTATAACTTCAACAAAGTATCAATGACATAATTTAGAGAAAAAAAAGTCCCAACAATGGGTATGACCTGATTGTATTTCAGAGTATGCATGTTCTTGGACTGTTCTTACACTGCTGCTGTGCATCACTTGGGGTACACACTTGGATAATTAGACCAACCTGACGAGTAGCTGAGAACAGGGATAAACCAGCAATCCCAGCCATGGTTCCTCAAATTAGATTCACTTCCCAGCCTGCCCAAGCCCACTAAACTTGTTATTTGAATGCTTCACATAGTGGTTTCATTGCTGGTACATTGGATGAACATCTATCAGTACATCACACCTTTCAGAACTAGCCAGTGAAAACCCAGCCAGCCTGATGAATCACCCTGCGTTTTTAAGGAGCTGTGACTTGTGCTAAATAAAATCAAACCAAGTGACGCAGGTTTCAACCTGCACTACAGATCAGTCCTTGTTTTTCTGGGAACACTTCGAGCACATTAGGACTGGACATCCCCTGCTGATGCGTTTAGTCCATAATTAGTAAATCTAATTATTGCATTCTTCCTGATGAGAAAGGTATCTTCAACACCTGCATGTCTCTGGTTCTAAACTGGCAAAAATCGGTTTCTGTGTTGTTTATCTCTCTGCTGGATCCTTCAGAAATCCTTCACTCCTAAATTATCACTGAAAATGTAACAAGTACAATATATATGGTATTCACCTTTTGAGCTTTTCTAATAGACTATTGTTTCTGATACTGTACTTTATTAAACACTTTACTACAAGCTACATTAGTGTGCTGGTTTTGGCTGGGATAGAGTTTGTTTTCTCCATAGTAGCCAATATGTGTTTTGGATTTGTGCTGGAAACACAAATGTGTTGATAACACAGAGATGTTTTAGTCTCTGCTGAGCAGAGCTCACACTGAGCCAAGGCCTTTTGTGCTCCTCACCCCACCCCAGCAGCAAGGAGGTTGGGGGTGCACAAGAAGCTGGGACACAGCTGGCACAGCTGACCCCAGGGATATCCCAGACCATGTGGCACCATGCTCAGTGTATAAAGCTGGAGAAGAAGGAGGAAGGGGGTGGGACATTGAGAGTGATGATGTTTGTCTTCCCAAATAACCATTACTTGGGATGGGGCCCAGCTTTCCTGGGGATGGCTGAACACCTGCCTGCCCATGGGAAGTGGTGAATGAATCCCTTGTTTTCCTTTGCTTGTGTGCACAGCTTTTGCATTACCTCTTAAACTGGCTTTATCTCAACATGTGAGTTTTCTCACTTTCACCCTCCTACTCGTCTCCCCCATCCCAGTGCAGGGGAGTGAGTGAGTGCCTGCGTGGGGCCGAGTTGCCAGCTGGGGTTAAACCACAACAAGCAGTACAAGGTTGCTGTTGTGTGCTAAGGAGAATGCATCTTTTCTATCCACTGCCCAGTTTTTTTTAAGCTATCCTGCACCATGGAGCAATAGGAGTTCATCTCAATGCAGGAAGGGGTGGGACACCGCAGGGATGCCCTTCTGAGAATGCTGGGTGCAACTACAGAACCTGGTGGCTGAGTTAGCTGGATTTACAGGGGTTTAGTAGCCTCCAACCACGTTACAATTGAGTCCCAAGTGTAAACTTTTTATGAGGTATGTCCCACATATTTCATTTGAAAGGATCCTAGTCCAAGCGTGCCCAGGTTTTGACTTTTCAAGCTTTGATTGAAGAAATATGTAAAAACAGAACTTCAAACATGCAGGTTCCTCACCACAAAATAGCTGCAAAACATAGAATTTTATCTGCACTAAGTGCTTCACTTTTGCCTGAAATTGCCCTGTTCCAGCCATAAACCACACCTTGCAGGACTGGTAGAAATACAGAAACAAAGAATGAAGCTACAAGTGTACCAGGCATAAAAGCAGAGTGGGAAGCAAAATATACATGGTAACAAATACAAATACATAAAAAGTACAGACAAATATGTCACTTTGTTAAATAATAACACGAAAATGTGGATTAAGATATTAAAACATTAGTTATTCCAGAGTCTTAACTCTTTTTAAGAGTAGTAAAGCTCCACGTTGAATCACTCTGAGTGTATTGCAGACGATTTCCAGGCAGTTTCCTCTTGCCTGCCCAGCTCTCCCCGGGCCCAGCCGCCGGCAGCCACGATGAGTCGCCAGTGAAGGGATGCAAGGAGCCAGCAGAGGCACAGGAAAGCAATTCCTAAAAATATTTTACCTCTACTTAAAAAATGGGCAGTCGGTCTCCATATTTGCCTTAGGGGTAATGACACACCACATCTATCTACCGGAAAACCTGTACTCTTTGCCCACTCTGTGAGGGGCTGCCAGGACACAGAATCTGTGCAATTGGTGCTCAAGAAAAAGCTGGAGTGCCCTCAGGTGAGGAGACCCAGCCACCTGTGGGCTCATCAGGGCTCAGCTGTACCAAAGGCTCATCAGAGCTCCTACCCTGCCCACAAAGAGCAGACAGGCCCAGGGCAGAGGAGAGTGGCTGCTGTGGGGCCTGGTAAACAGGACTGGAAGAGCCAAAGATGGAGTGGAAGTAAAAGCTGGGGCTTCTCTGCCCAGCCCTGAGCACTTGGGGCACATGAAGGACATCTATGGGCAGGCGAGGAGTGGAGACCAGCGCTGGGGCAGCAGCAAGGTAGGGCTCTTACAAATGTCCTTTGTGGTGGGCAGTGACAGCCCTGAAACCCTCCCTGCAGGAGGATGGTGTGTGGCACAGGTGTCTCTACTGGTTTTGCACCGAATGCCGTGTTGTGTGCCGGTGTGGAGGGGTTTCCAGGGAGCAGAGGTGCTGTGGGTTATCAGGGCACTGCTGGGCTGAAATCTGCCATGTGGTTGCTGTGTCTGAGGGGTCGGGTGTGTGCTCAAGGGGCTCTGGTGTGCTCAGGCTGGCAGAGCTGCTTCCTCCCTTCCTTCCCTTTTGTATGGCTTTCTCAGTCAGGGAAAATAGGTGTTCATGGTGTGAGGGACTGTTTGTCCTGAAGGCTCTGCAGCCCACTGGGAGGGCCAGAGTGAAGTGTCACTGCCAGGAGCTCAGTCAGCGCTGGGCAGGAGGGGCAGCACTCGCTGGGCCAGGACAGCTGCGCTTCTGACCTGCTCAGCAAAGCACCCTGGTCCTGTGTGTGCTGGATGGGTGGGGTATCACAATAGCAGGCCCTTGGCAGAAAAGGATTAAATTTTTCTGTAAGATTATAAAATATAACTGGGCTTGAAGCTAGGGTTCCCTCTGGAAAAGCAGTTCATTCTGGCTTCATAATGTCCTGAAATTAACTGACAATAGAAGTTACTACCCTGTGAGGAATAAATAAAAATCCCAATTTAAGAAAGATACAAGACTTAAAACTAATTCACCAGTCTCTTCAAGAAAAATCAGTGCTTCCTTTTATTCACTCTGGGCTTTCTCTGTTCTTGTTAATTTGTGTGCCACTGCAGACCTCCTCTTTAGGACCAGAGCTGGAGTTGAGTTGAATGAGCCTGCCGGGTCTGAGCTCCTGCCAGCTCTAGGGAAATACCAATTCCTGCCAAGCTTGGAATTTTTACCTCTGGTTTTAGTAAATCAATGAAACTTTCTATATTGCTTCTCTCTTAACGTACTGCAAAAGGGTTTTGCTTTGAGGGAATGATAAATTATATTGATGAGCAGAAAGATAGGAAACTGCATCTGTCACAGTGGGGATCCAGCAAGTCTTTAATGATGGGAGTTTTGTGAAGCTTATCGAATACTTGAGGAAAAAATTTAGGATGCCTAATAAGAAGTTGCTAATACACTAACTTTGGGGCAAAGAGTGAATGCAGGCTGCATTCTGCCTATTCTGCCTTCCTGAGCTTCAGGTGAGGTCTACCTGCAGACTTGAACACTGGCATTTCTTCTCAGAACAGGCTTGTCAGGGTGGCTCTTAATAGTTTTCATCTCTCTTATCCTAATACTTTTCTTGACTGCACAACTAGAGAAAATAGCTCTTACAGGTCTCATTGAAGAGGGTGAGTTATATGGTAAAGGTAAAGGACACTATTTACCCTGATATTAGTATCTAATAGTTCATATAACTAGACAAACCATTCTTCACACAAAACAGGCTAGGACCAAGCTCTCTGCATTATGAACAGACACATCGGTGGTTTTGTATTTTATTAAATTAAACCCACACAAAATATAACTGCACACAAGAACACACATCTGATATTCCAATGTCATATCTCACAAAGAAAAATCTCTGGCTGTAACTCGTCCCTTGTATTAGCAGAAATCCAATTTGCAAACAGTTGTTTAACCATAAAGGCTTTAACTCATCAAAGCAAGTTGAATTCCCCTTTCTAGGAATACACCATAACCACACACAGACACACACACAGAGTTCAGAGGCAAGTTCTGCAGCCCTGAAGTAGACAAAACTTTCACAGCAAACTTGCCTATGTTTGCAGAATAAGTAAATTCCTATTACTTTCATAGTTTGTCATTTACAAGCAAACTTTAATATTTTTAAATACTTAAAACAAATTTCACTTTAACAATTATTTACAAAATCTTTACTAAAGATCAACATCCTGCATAAAGGTGACCTCAAGGATATATTGTTGCTACCATGCTACAGTTTGCACTGAAGGGGTAGAAAGGCCATTACTAGTTTTGGAAGGCTTAAACCCTTTGTTGATATAGCATAAGGACATTAACCTATGGAAGGCAGAAGAGGTCATCATTTCAGTGCAATTACCCATTCGTGACTTCTTTTAAGTACATCAAGATGATGAGTCCAAAAGACTTGGGTTTTGAATTATTGACTGTTTAGTTCTTTAAGAACTGATTTCATGGGAAGTTTTCAGGCCATCACATCTGTCTTCTACTGGTGATATGAAGAAGTTGCATAGGGACCTTCCTCATCCTCCTCCTCTCTAAAAAGAAAATGATCATAATCATCAGGTCAGGAACATACCATGTCTCAACAGTAAAGCTGTAATGAAAATGCAGGTAACCAGTTTTCCTAATGGATCAAATTAAGCAAAGCCAGCCTTGCCCAACAGGAATACCTGCAGTATAATACTGTTAATTACACATCTCTAGAGTTCCTACTATGTTTAAAGAACAGAATGCTGAACACAAGTAAAGCTGTGTAAGTTCAACAACATCAGAAAGTACTATTCTTGACACTGCATTGCCAAATCAATAAGAAATGCTGTAAAGGATAAAAAAGTGGAATTCCTGTACTGTTGCTCTCAATTTCTTATTTTACAAAATAAGTTTAGTTAGAGGTTTGCTTCAACCTTTTGAATGGCAGGGGTACAGATGGACCAAATGAAGCAAGAACAGGAGCTGTAGCTGGGTCTGTGTCTTGCTGCTGCAAGGACGTTCCTTGAGTGGGCTCCCTGATGTGTACTTCCTGGGCATCAATCACCATGGAGAATCATCACTTGGATTTTCTTAGGAAAACTAGTTCTCCCAAAGAGTTATTGTTAATGCAATGACTGGACAATGGTAAATAGTGTTGCTATTAAAGCATCCTCAGGAAAAATCAGTCTGCCTGCTGTTTACTTGATTGCCTTTAAAAAAAAAGTGGTTATGTAAACCTATTGCAGTGCAGCATCCAGTACTAACTCAAGCATGCCACGTTCTCCAAAGATCATTGTTTTGTACTACTGTAGCTTCAAAATTTTGTTCCTGAGAGTCTAGTCTAAAAGCTGCTGCCAATTTTAGTGTTTTGGTGAGAACAGAAAGACTTTACAGTTGCTACACTGTGAGCTTCTAAGGATTACTTTTAATATTGCATCTGCCTTCATACAAAGGTACAGTTATTCCAACAGTCTAATAATGATATGAGGTAAAAATTAAATATTTCAATATCAAAACCCTAATCATGCTTTCCCTAATAACTTTTAAACATGATTATTTATCTACAACTGAAATTTCATACAGCCCCCCAAAATAGAATCAGAGAGAAGAACTCTACAGACTAACCAAGCAGCTTGAGTAATTTGCACTCATTTTCCCAGCAAAAGTATTATCTTAAGCCAAAGGCATAATATTTCTTTTGCCTTGAAGCAATCTTTTCAAAAAAAGAAACCTCAAAAAACCCAAGTTTTGGATGAAACTGGTAGTTATTGCAGGGATGTATGGTTACAGTAGTACTGTGAACAGATTTTTTAGCCATTCTTACAAATACATCTGTTTACATTAGTGATGCTCCAGAACCAGTATCAGGGATGATCTTAAGATACAGATGACATGTGTACAACACTTAAGTAACATCCTTCCTTACATAATCCATGCTGCACATAAAACTGCCATGGAATACTATCATTTGCAGATACCTTCCATGACACCTGGCATGACAGTAAAGTAAGGAAGAAAACAATTCATGTTTAGTTGAATAAACACTAAAAACACTTCAGACCTGTAAGTTCTCTCAAGACAACACATCTTAAAATGTTTTTCAGCTCTGATATATGCTCTTCTGGGGCACTGTGTTTCTAGCCACATGTGCCTGGAACTTAGTTACAAGTAGCAGTCTCCTGTTAGTTTGTGTGAGGATGAAGGAGAACCACTACATTTTCAGAGCTCAGACTGTCCAGAGGGGGAGAACTTACTTTCTATGCTCCACACTGGAAATTACTTTGTACTGCTTAGCTTTGTTATATTTCTCCTTTCAGGAGAATAAAATGTGGCAGTGTTATAGCAAATGACCTTCCTTCCAATCAAAGGCTAACAGAATCAGCCTTTCAATCATTCTTCTTGAAAGCCTTAATATAGGAATAACATACATATAATGACATGGCAACAGCCAAACACTGGACTGAAATGAGCTGCAGTTGATTATGGGTGAATATAGACAACTGAAGAACTGAAATACTGATGTTATATTAGCAGGTCTTCAGACATCCAAGTAACAAAAGCATTGTCTAGGCTCTTTGTCCCCACTTCCCTTGTGCAATGTGGACTATGGGCTCTTAGATGTCAGCAGAGGGCACAAAGCACTGGGGTTACAGCTAGTTTTGAGGGGCTTCTGTGCATGGCAGGGACATAAAAACTATATAGTAGGTTGTTACGCTTGAACTGAGGTAAAGCAGTGACTGGCTGTAAGGTGCAAAATACATTTCTGACCATGGCTTGGAACTGCTGCTGCAGCTGCCAGCAAGGGTGGGCAAGAACACCTTCTGCCCTACTGTCTCAGGCTGCAGGACTAGCCTGGGAGGTCTGCAACACTACTCCAAACCACAGTAGTGGCCAGGGAATATTACTAATGTAGATCTTAGAACCATGCATAGCAAGTACAAGTCTGTTCTGATGGCTAAAAAACAAGCTGAGCTTTATATAAAATAAAATCTTATGTGGCCCACAGGCACCAACATGGCAGTGTGTATCTGCTTAACGACCAAACAATTTTCTTCACTTTTAAGATGCCTAAAATAGCAGAGTGGTAAGTCACTCTAACATTCTCCTTCAGGGAATGGAAAGGAACAGCACAGCATTAAAACACTGCAGTGCTGTCCCCTCCCATTTGCTGTCTCCACTTTGCCCAGTAGGATACAGGAGCTGAAAGAAGTCTCCTCCAAGCTGTGATATGTATCAGGCACAATCAACCACTTCTGTAAGGGCAAGCACACCCGAGTGTGAACAAATAAACTCAAATGCTTGGATGCTTCTAGAAGGCACAATTGAACAAGGCAGCAATCTGAGCTGTTAGTTAATAGGCTTCAACACCCTACTCTTTCCTCCGTTCAGGTCAAGGCAACTGAGCAGGTGACAGTATATGGTTCTGTTCCTGTGCTGACACCAGTTATATCAGCTCATATAACCAACAGTGATTAGAGTGGCTCTACTCAGTTACAAGGTTTTCAAAATGAGCCACTAAAAGACAAATGCAGAAAGATGTGACCTGTCCCACAAGCATAGTACATGGCCTCAGTGTTCTGGTCTACCACAGTACCACCCTAAAATCTTAAGGACTTGCATTAGACATCTGGTGCTCAACTACCTGAGACAAAAAGCATAACTAAACTTGTTTTCAGTTTTGACATCCTGAAGCATGCATAACAGCATTTGGGGCTGTTATGAAGATGAAGCACCACCATATCTTCCATTATGTTGCTTTTATTTCACATGTGGATAAAACTGAGTATTCTTTTCTAATATGCAAATACAAGAGTTAGCAACATATGCTACAAACAACTATATTAATCCTTTCACCTTTCTTCTGGTCTATTATAAAAACACTGCTCAAAGCAAAAAGGTTTTATTGCTTGAACTGCATCCTGGGTAAATATGCATGATTAGTGAATCATTAGCTAATGATTTCTTACTCAATGAAACTCTAGTAAAAGTAGTATTGCGTGTAGATCTATCCATGTGCTTACATAAACTGTAACAGTGAACGGCAGCTGGCACAAACTCAGTGGGTCACATTCTCAAACCTTTAATGCTTATCTACTTGCACAGCTATTATAGTTTAGTATCTAGTCTAAATCTGCAACTATGTGCTCCTCAACATTTCTACCTAAAAGCAAGAGGTTTAGCTGGAAAGTAGCTGACTTCAGAGGTTAATATACTTTATTCCTTTGAAAGCACTTAAAGCAGTGACTTCAAGAGTTGTGATTAAAGAATGTAATTCACCTTAAGCTGCTTTTGTAGCACAAGGCAGTTTCTGACTATATAAAACAGCCTTGTGTGGTTTAATCTGAGTCAGTGCATGTATGCACATGCATTCTTGGCAACTTAAGGGCGATCAAAGTAAAGAGCAATTAAACAGACGTTGTGGTTCTCACAATCAGTCAGATCAGGCTCACTGTAGGGTGAGAAGTTATGGCTCTTTAAGTTCTCAAACCAATAGTCTGCTTCTGCTTGCAGTTGCCTTAGTTTCATATCACTTTTAGTGGCAGCAGATTAACTTCAGGTGCTCCTTTGTTACTCTCAGACAGGCACTGAAACACGGCAGTGTTGGCACACGTCACATTCTAAGCAGGCTTTGACAAGGCAACCCTAATACAGAAGGCCAGAGCAGCTGGAAACAGCACTTTAACTTCATAAATGGCTTTCACTCTAATAGAAAACTTGCATATTCATGAGGTTGCTTTACTATCTTGGCTCTCCATTTTTCAAAGGCTTCCTGCTCCAAGCAAGGGACAAGAAAGGTCTGGGCAGGAAGGAGAACAGGTGTCTCCTGGGACGTGGCTGGGACACAGTAAGGAATGTTGCCACCTTCCAGTTTGGGTCCAGAAACACCATTGATGGTACATAGCTGAAAAGTATCTCCAAGGCTTTTGGCAATGGTCTCTCTCTACTCCTGCTGCCTGCAAGGAATAAACATTCACTTTGGTCCTCTGCCCCTTCCTGTCTGACTGTAAAGGGGTCTGTCCTTTCCAGCTGTGTTGGAGAGGACAAGGCAGGGATGGCTTTTGTGGGCCATGACTGAAAGCTGGATGTGGTGGGGTAGAAGGGAACATTGTGAAGACTTCATCTGATGCACAGAAGCTATTTCTCTTCAGAAGCTTTGGGTAACATCCTGCTCAGCAGAGAGCCTGCAGCTCTGTATCTCGTGTGTCCTGTAGCATCCTGACCAACAAAAATTGTGCTCTGTGCATAACTAACAAAATTCTCTGCTAAATCTGAACAGGAGGTAGAAAAGTAACTCATTCTCCTGTAAACATTATTTCTTAGGAGGAAATGTGGTACCAGGCCCCCATTTCCCAAGTTGTAACTTAAGCAATACAGGAAATGGATATTAGTAGCAGCAGTGCATTATTTGTGTGATGTTGCTTTCACTGTATTGGCTCTGCTCACAGGGCAGCAAGGTCTGAGAGAATTTCCTTCTGTAAATCAGCATGTTATTTTGTTGAAGGGATGTTAAAATAATTGCCTTTCTGTGGCAGGGACTGTGGTTTCCTGTCACACAGTTTAACTGCTGGGTCAACATCTCTAGTCCGTGTTAGGTACATACATCTAATGATCTGAAAGTCAGCAGCAGCACATTTTGATAGATGCTCTACATGGCTTCATATGTAACAATGGAAGTGGATCAGTTTGAACAGAGAAGGTTCTGACCTCCAACAGCAATTTTTCCTGAAAGGTTACTTTCTGCTTAGTGTGAAAAGTATGTTGCTTGCAATATCAGTGCTCTGCAGTCACACCTTTTATTGTCATGGGAAAGGCCACCTCAGCATCCCCCGCTGAGGTGATTTCTGAAGAGAATAAACAGGCAGGGAGCCAGCCCAAGAGGTTGCTTGTGACCAGGCTGAGGAAGCTTGTCCCAGGGACATGGAGAACAAACACTACTGAAGTCCACTCTTGCTCTTAGTCTTTCTGTGCTCTCCATGGGATACCTACATATATGAGGGGATAACCACTGTGGCAGACAGGACAGAAAATACTGCTTTTTCTATGAGTGAATGTGGGGGAGCTCCTGGCTGTAGAAGAAATACTGAAGAAAAGATGACATCTGCACAGGTGGATCCACAAAGGGAGAGACTGCACAGGGAAAGGCGATAGGATAGCTTAACTGAAACTGCATTATGGAGCATATTTACACAATAATGAGGCAATTTGGGACAGAAGAAAAATGAAATCATGCCTTGCTGTACACATTCAGCTTCCACGTAGGCCTACTGAAAACTATGGCTTTGTTTAAGTAGTTGCCCTCTTAGACAGCAAGGCATCTTGGAGAAGACTGCCCTTCCAGCTTTTATGAAATATTATTGCTATTCTCTAACCATGTATTGTGAGGCAGCCTTTCTAACTGTCATGACAAGGCACCTGCTAATGCTGTGCTTTCGATGTATCTGGTGCGTGATAATAGCAGAGACTTGTTGACAAACTAAAGCTGCAGATGCTGTCTGAGAGGCCCCACAAAGAGGGTCCAGCCTAGACTAAAATGCCTTCAGGGTGAGATTAACATGCTTAATACCAAAAGAGGCATTTACCTGACATTGTCCTCTTTTAGTTTTCTGGCTGCTTGTTTGGATAACTTAATCTGCAAGTCCAATCTCTGAAGGAAATCTTTGGCAGATAATTCTTCTGGTGCAGTGGGCTGACTGTCAGGCTCTTGAGGACTGGGAGAAGAACTACTTTCTTCCTGAACTGTTACTAGTCCTTCATCACAAGAAGGGGAGCTGTCAACAGTTTCATTCTCAGGAGACTCCAGTGAACTAAGTCCATTGAACAGTAATGGTTTCTCTGATACAACAGGAATATTCAGGGTTTTCCTCAGAAATATACAGTCATTAGTGAACAGTTTATTTGCCCTCTTTATTTGTTCCATCTGAAAAAGATAGGAAAAATGTAAGTTATTAGGTTTTGGCAAAGTATAAAGTACTAACTTTCTGAAGAAGTACAATACCCTTTAGTTATAATAAATCTATACTTTCTTTGCAGCAGCAATGACTTCAGGAAAGAGTCTGTTTGCATTCAAAGTGATTTCAGAGTGCATGCTCTGTTTTAGCCTTGCTAACATCCTAGCTTCTTTCATGTAGACTTGACTCCAAAATACTGCTTTTTCTAAAGTCTTGCACTACCTGAAGATGCTTTTCTTGAACAGTCTTCCAGTCTCTAGACAGGCTCACATGAACAACCTGCCAAAGAATAAAACTTCTGTTGCAAAAGTACTGCTGATTTGGATTTATATTACAGTAAGGCTCAGAACTGCTAGCAGCTGCTGCAGGTGAACCCTCTGGTAAAAGCATGCAGAATCCAAATAAGGGGCAATGAAGTTACCTTGAGGATTCTAGGACATGTTAGTTACGAACAGTGAGCAACACAAGTCCTGGAAGAGCAGTATATGCCTCCTCCTTGGTATTCCCCCCAGCTGATGTAACACATTCAGACTTCATATGAAATCCTGATTTTCAGTGAGGAGTCAGGCAGTGAGAAGAATGGGGGACTCTTGTACACTGTCATGCAGCTGCACAGACCAGTGGCTGCATTGGTTCAGTAAATTGAATCTGCAGCACCTTCAACAGCAACCTCATGTGTGTGATAATGTGCCTGGTAACAGCCACCACATGCCTGCTACATACTTTTTATGCTACTTTTGCCCAAGATTGCCTGTACTAATGAGTAGGTTGTGACAGAAGCAACCTTCTTTCTCAGCACGCTAATGCATAAAACTCCCTTGTTCTATAGTTAATCTGAGAAGCTATTATAAATTCCTTTGCTTTACAGGCGAAGGAAAGCTACCAGTAAATGTTTATACTGTGTCCCTACTAAAAATGTTTAAGTTCTAACTCATCAAAATTTCTCTTCTAAGTCAACAAACTAACTTCCTGTTTCTCAACCGCAAGCTTTTAAAAGCACAGAATTCTGTATCCATGATTATGTGACTTTATGCTTCAGTTATAACCTGAATTCATGATTTCATTAGCGAAAGTTCTAAGTGGAAAAAAAAATTACCATTCTGGTCCCCTGGTGACTGTAATAAGCAGAAAATCCCCAATCACTAAAGTACTGCAACGATAAATGCCCTCTAAATAAAACTTGCTTGAAAATAAGTATAAAGAGAACAGAAAAAAACCTCGTGCTTTCATTAGAACTGTTAATTATTTTTATTGAACTAGAAGGAGCTAAAGTGAATAAGAATAAAGACTGTAAGTCTTGTCATAATAGGAGTCTTGCTGCTAGCATAATCACTCAGAGCTGAGTGCTCCAAGTACTAGCCACTTGCTGCTTCAAAGTCTGAGTATCTAGAGTTCAGTGCTCAGATGATGAGAAAATCGTTCCATCATCTTATCCTTGTCAGTCTTAAACTCTCTTAAACTTTGGCACTATTTGGAGTCCTTCCCAACTGCAAAAGAAAAGACCATTGCTACCAGATAACTGGCTTAAACATGCCTGTGCATTCCTCACACTGAACATACCAGCAGGGGAACCTATTGGGATCCAAGGGAACCTACTGCACTCTGCATGTCTGTGCAGATGTGAGATTGTGTGGCCACTTCCAGAACTCAAGTCAGCTATTCTATGCAGTGTAGACCTGTACTGTGCACTAAAAGTATCTGCACTAAAAGTATCTGCTGCAGTGATGTTATAGAACTGGTGTCCTGCATGGATGCATTTGCTTGGGTCCTGGAAACCTGATGAAATCTTTCTCCCTAAAAGTAAATATGATTCTCTCTAGAAAGGACAGGTGTATGGGAAGGTAGTGAAAACAGCACAGTAAAGCTCAGCAGGAAGTGATTTCTACCTGTTAAATACAAAAAAAATGTATTCTCTGGTTAAAGATAACCCAAATCTGTTGATGCAGGTGGCTAAAATGATGAAATGCTTAGATTTAATAATCCCTTTCAAAAACTGAATAGCTAACATCTGGTGACTCACACTAAGTTACTACAAGTAAGAGAAGCTCTCTACCAGCTCTTGAAGCTTGGAAGCTGTTTTTAGTTAGGCTCATACAGTAGAGGGTAAAAGTTCTCTCTCAAGCTGAGCACCATCTGAAGGGCATAAAGGAAGTTTCACCTGATTTAGTCATGAGACCTTATAATGGCCCTAGTGTGAATGTCAACTGTTAAAATTTCTAAAAGCTGTCTGTCTGGATGGGTGTCAAAAATGTTTAAAATACTAGCTGGAGCTATTCTCTACTACAATACAGAAGCTGAAAACTGAGATGTTTACTGCAGGGGAGTTGGAAGGTGATGCTTCGATAGCTGATAAATAATGCACTGTACTGCTATTCTCTCTTCTACTTCACTGTAATTCTACCTCTGGTTATTTCTTACTAAAGTACCACCTCACGGCATTTGGAAGACTCTCTACCTCTGAACTGAGTAACAGTGAAATGGAAAGTACTTGGTTCTAAAAAGAACATCCCTCAGCCTTGAGTAGGTTAATTCATATGTGCAATATATAACTCCTAAAGTCAGTATGACACTCAGGCGTGTGGAGAACAGAATTTAACAAGAGCTTTCTTTTTTTAGTGCTAGGAAAACTGAACTTGAGTTTGTTAGCTACAGATCTATCACAGTGAAAGAGCAAAAGCTGTAGCACGTGCTTAATACTTTAACTGAACCTGCACTAATGCATAAACTGGTGCTGAACTAAGTAATTAAAACTGCTTCTACTGACAATGAAACATAGTCCTCTTTCTTCTCCCCTCAAAAGAGATGCAGCACTTGCACTGAACCATAAATATGATACCAAACATGAATTCCCAGTGTTAATTTACCCAGAAGGAAGATATAATGAAGGCAAGTTGTAAAGATTAATAGCCAGTATCTGGGGGATGGGGTGAAGAGCAGAGCATGAGGCCAAACAAAGCACAATGATCTCTCTCCCTCAACATGACATTTTCATCTGTCCTGCACTGTCTCTGCCAAGTCATGCCAAAGCAGGCATTGGACAGGATGTCTCTTGCTACAAAGTAACTCCCAGAGAGGAAAACCACAGGGGAAACTTCTAAAAACAGTGATACGGGAGGCAAGGGCAGCCAAAGATAATTCTGATGTTTTCATTACAGCAACTCCCACTCCTAGCCAAGGATACATGATGCAGGAAGCAAATGGAATGACTCTTTAGGGGAAGTGAGTCCTTGTCATTGTGTGCAACCACGATGTTCTTCATTTTGCTAAAAGCAAACACGTTTGCATACATTCCTACCCTGGGTTGAAACCCATTAAAACAGAAACACAATGGCTAATTTCACCAAACTTGGCACTGCTCTTAGGGACATTTCATGTCAGATTAACCTTTCTCAACTGAAGTCTATAATGATGCAGCTCTGGTTTCTTAAGCACAATACTTACCAACACTAAATTGAGTAACCAATGACATGTTGGGGAAAAAACCCCAACATTTATACTTTAAATGCATCATCAACACAGCAAAAGCTTATTAAACCCATACTATAAACAAAGTTTATGGTTCATAACCTAAAGTTATTTATACAGGTTTGATCCACAACTTCACTTTAGCTGAAAGGGGGTTTTAAATTGTTTAGAAATGACTTTTTTTCTGGAAAACTACTCTTTTAGTTATCTCTTTATGTTTTTCACTTCTGAATGAGGAATAACACAGCTAAATCATTTAGGCCAGAGACTTTATCCATAGTGGAAAGTGCTGCCAAAAATAAAAAAGAAATCAAACATCCAATGTGCTGCTTTGCCTTCTTAGTGAGCAAAACTTCATTTTAATGTGGACCAGTGTAAGTCCAAAGTATCATTAGCCCCGTTGCCAAAAAGAATCGGTCAAAAGTGGCATAATCTTTCAAAAGGGAAGAGAAATAGACTTTTAACCCGTTCCACAACAAAGGCTGAAGGCTATTAAGGTGATGGAAGGCTTTAGTAGATCTTGCAGACCAAGAGAAGGAAAAGAAACCATTCCAGTCAGAGCCTATTAGTTTGGGACTGTATTGTATCTCTTCTAGAAAGAGCCAACTGGAAGGTGCTGTTTGCAGCTGATGTGAGTGTGACACTGACTGTGTACCAGTGCCATGCTCATCAGCTGCTTGGCCCCAAGCAATTCTGCATATTGGGACTACCAAAGATGCATATCAGTATATGGGGCCCAAAAAAGCAGAGATGAAGGCAGGGTAGGTGAGCTCTGCTCTGTCAGGAATGGTAGTGCTGGTAGACCCTACTGGACTCTGCATGTCCTCAGCTGCCATAAGCCTTTCAGCATTTTTCACAGAAATAAACTTTCTTTCTCCATAGAAAGTAAGCAGAAAAGCAACACTTTCAAACCAGTGGCACTTGTGCCTCAACTCTGGGCTGGGAGGCAGATCACAAGGGAGGAATGTTTAGCCCTGAAGCTACCAGAAGAAATTCTTTCCCCTTGTCACAGCCTATGCATCAAGCTCAAAATAATGATTCTCTTCAAGATAAATTTATTTTCTTTTTTAATCTGAAGTGAGTGTAGTAATGAATAGTTGCATGGGTATAGGTTTCCTAGTGGAATTGTGTCTCCTTTCCCAGGGACCTCTGTCCCATCCTGGGATCCCGGTGCTTGTCAGTTTGGAGCCGTGTCCTGGCCGGGCAGTGCGAACTTCAGCCCTTCGCCGGGTGCTGACCCCTCCGAGCAGGCCATGAACTCAGATGTCATCATTTCAAATACCGAAACTAAAGCCAGCGCCGTACCACGGGGAGAACACCATTTCCTGCCCGCTGTGGGTGGGAAATGCTCTAAGGGCCAAGTTGCTGTCCTCTCCCGGCTCGGGGCCCCACCACCGCTGCGGAGCCGGGCTGCGAGGGTGCTGAGGCACGGGCTGCCCAGGGATGCTCTGCACTCCCCATCCCTGCAAGCGCTCAAGGCCTGGCTGGATGGGGCTCTGAGCAACCTGGCCTAGTGGAAGGCACCCCTGCCCACGGCAGGAGGGTTGGAACTGGCTGATCTTCATGCTCCCTTCCAACCCAAACCGTTCCATGGCTCCAAGCGCCGCTCCGGGCCCCTCCGCCCCTGTGTCGGCGCCAGCGGCGCTCCCTCCCTTACCGTGACGCCGTACTTGAGGGCGATGCCCTGCAGCGTGTCCCCGGCGCTCAGCCGGTGCTCCACGTATCGCTCTGCCAGCGGGGCCGCCACGCTGGCCGTGCTGCCGTACGAGCGGGCCTTGGTGCGGGCGAGCCGCTGCGACAGCTCGGCCTCCGACTCGGGCCCGCCCGGCGGCTCCTGGCGCAGCGCCTCGGCCATGCTCCCACCCCGCGCTCAGCGCCCGCGGCCCCGCGGCCCCGCCACCCCGGGCATCGCCCCGGCACCGCCACCGGCCCGGCCCGGCGGCACCGCAGGACACGGCCCCGGCTCGGCCCGGAGGAGGCCCCGGCGCGGCCCCGCCCGGCGGGGAGAGGCCGCATGCGCGGGGCAGCGCCCGCCCAGCGGCGGCCGGGCCGGGCCGGGCCGGGCCGAGAGGGAGGAGCGGGGCGAGGGCAGCGAGTGTGAGGGGCTGGCCCGGACTGGGCAGTCTGCGTCACTCTGCAGAAACCCTCCAGAGGCACTCCCCATTCCTCTTTGCCAGTTTGTGAAGGGGCCAGCGCAGAGCGCTGCGGGCTGTGGAGACTCCTACCCACTGGAGTCTCAGTAATGCGGTTTTGTCATTGAGTCTGAGATGCGAAGAGAGAGTAAAAAGGAGTGGCTTCGGGCATAAGTGCGCAAATATGAAAGTGTAATTGTACCAGAATGGTTTGGGTTGGAATGGGACCTTGAAAATCGCTTTGTTCCAACGCCCCTGCCGTGGGCAGGGACACCTTCAACTAGGCCAGGTTGCTCAGAGCCCCGTTCCACCTGGCCTTGAACAGCTCCAGGGGTGGGGCATCCACAACTTCCCTGGGCAACCTGTTCCAGTGCCTCCCCACCCTCCAGCCGCCTGTGCCTCACCCACCACTACAGTAAAGAATTTTTTTCCTAATATCTAATCTAAACCTACTCTCTTTCAATTTGAACCCATTCCCCCTTGTCCTGTCACTACGTGATCTTGCCCCATCTTTCCTGTAAGGTCCCTTCTGGTATTGGAATAACATTTTATATTAAAATTAATGTGTTTTAAGTGGGTACTTCCCACCAAGAAACCTGTGTAAGTTTTCTTGGAAAGCTGATCCATTATTGCTAACTATTGTTAGCAACTGCATTGCTAACAAAAACTCTGTGTTACGTACAGACGGTGCACATTTGTGCATCCTGTACAGGCACGATATGTACCAAAATACCAAGAATTGTCCAAAGTAACCTGCTCTAGGTGCCTGTGTTCGGGGCTATTGGACAAGATGCCCCTCAAAGGTCACTTCCAAATTCAACCAGGCTGGGATTCTGGGAAGTGTGTAGACGGAACATCTACTGTGGTGTAATTTTATTTTTTTTCTGGGAAGTCCTAGAAGGATAGACCTCTCTCTTAAACCTAAGCAAAAAAGACATACATGTCATAACCTCAGCATTCCTCAGCACAGTATGTATTCACATAAGTGTTTCCAAAAATAAAATGCTTCAACTGACATAATATCTAGTTGTGGGTTTTTTAGATTATGTTCAGTGGGTGACTCATGGAGTCTCTGTTAGGAATACAGTGCAAAACTCAAGGCAGAGCTCACAAACGTTGCTACTCTGGCCACAAATTTCCAGGCATAAATTAGGAAAATACAAAAGCTGCCCTGCAAGATGCACGAGTTGCTGATAAAGAATGACACATCAACACCCCATTATCACATGAGAAGCCAATGTGACAATCATGAACAGAGGAACTGTAAGCAATGCACAGACAGATCAGGGAAGTACAAGAAACTCTATAAACTGATGGCAAGAAAAGGTTCACTTTAATTTTTATGCAGTCCACAATAGATTTGGGAAGCTGGAGGCTCCCCTAGGGATGTGCAATTGAGTTTATATCAACTATAGAAGGCGATCACCCAACTGTGACGCCTCAGTGCTTTCAATTCCTTGTGAAGCAACTTGATCTGCTGAACTGGATCAGCAGTTCAGCCGTGACCCGCCTAGCAAAAGAGCTGAGCTGCGGGTCAGCATTTATTAAAAATATCTACTGTGTGTGCAGTGTGGAGCCATGGATCAGCTTCAGCCTTACGGCTGATTAATGGAAGTTGCAAACATCTGGATGCCTGCCTAGAGCTGGAATAACTCAGAGGAGTTACTTCAGCTAAAATGGCTTTTAGTAAAGGGGAGCTGCAGTTCAATAAAATGGAAATGTTGTGTAACATTAGTGATACAATGAGTTGAACATGCAATATCAATTAGTTTGAAAATGTGCTTGAAAGGTGCACTAATATTAGACAGTATTATTCCCTCTAATGTTATATTAAACTCTATATGCCAAGTGTGTGCAATACACTTTAAATCAGCTGTCACAACTCCGAGAACAGCAGAAGCACCCCTTGCATTAGTATAAAGATACCATGGATATTTTAATGTTGAAAGATTTATTTTAGTAATAAACCTTTTCAAGGATATATGAGATTTTTTTTCTTCTGGAGTTGCTGGACTGTCTTTTCCTTGCATCAGCATATTGTGGAGATGCTTGTTTATTATCTCAAAATCCATATTACAGCCAGAGAGACATTTGGATCCTGGGATGTTGCCAAGATACTTGATCTGATTAGCTGTCTGCCTTTTTTCTACATGAAGTGAATACCTTCTGAAACAAACATTTAGTTAGAAATTTGAGCCAGAACTTAAATTAGGTAACCCATCTTTTACCTGTATCTTTAATATGCATTCAAAATGAATTACAGAAGAAACTAGAAGTGTCTTGCTAATAACACTTCATTTTTAAGGAAGAAAATTGCATTACCATTTAAAATGTGATGTCTAGGCTACTGAAATATCTTCATGGATTGGTCTGTGAAATAGTAGCTTCCCTGGGGTGTATTGGCCCTGAGTTGTGAGTTGTCAGCCCCCTGTCTGATCTTGGTAGAAGCTGGAGCTCACTTGCTTCACAGTGTCCCACTAAAAAGGGCTGGAGTTGGTGTGGTGCAGGCTGGCATTGTGCCAACACTGCCAGCTGGGTGGGCTGCTCCGTGACTGACTCCAGAGCAGTGAACAAGCTCCTCTGGCAGCCCCCAGGAGGGAAGGACTTGCAGTGCTTACCTACCCCTCAAGGTGTGAGCATTCAATATCACAACATCAAACGTGCCACATTAGAAACAGTCCCTGCTATAACTGGGATTCTCAGTTCCCCCTCCTGAACTCTGAATCAGCAGCTTATTGTCATATGTGGGTATTTCCTGATATGCACAGGGGTTACATGGCAATTAGTTTGAGTGTATTGGTTTAATGGCTGATAATGACCTTCCTTGTTCAAGGAGTCTCTTGGCACTACTGACTCCCCTTCCTTTCTTTTTGTTCTTTTCTGTCTTCGCTGTCTCCTTATTACTGCATCTGTGACCTCTTTCCCCACAGTAGCTTCCAGTTTCAAGGAGCCGTACTTGCCCAAACTCATTTCTTGCTTTAAAATCAGTAGTGCAAGCATTGAAGTCATGTAACTGGGGGTTGGACTTGACACTCATCAGACTCACGTGGGACAGAGGAGTTCACTCCTCTGAGTCATTGTCCCAAGGGTGGCTGCAGACGTTGTAGCATCTGTTACTCACTTTGCCTTTGGGAGGTTATTGCTGCAGCTATAGCAGCTAGAAACATACTTTTAGAAATGAAAGCTTTAATCTCATAAAACTCAACTAAGCTTTATGGAGTGCTTGCCTGACCCAAGAGTTCCTTAGAGCTGAATCTGGAGAAGACAAAGTCCCTCTCTGCATTTTTTTTTCCCTTGGGGACATGTTCAGACCTAGATAATACTAGTCTTACATTCTTACATAGAATCATTGTACAGGAATTGGATAATGACAGAAATGATGCATGGGAGCTAATATTATATTTACTCATGCAGCAGTGGTTAAAGGTAATTCTAGTTAATTTTTCAGTTCAGGAATTGTCACTGCCTCTTCTGTCTTTCTGAACTTGTTCTGAGGATGAGAGCTTTCCTTTCAGTAATATTGCATGATAAATCTTCTAAATAACCAACAGTATTTGAGTCTGGACTACTTCTAGTTAGTATTGGATATCTAGCTGCCATTTTATCATTGAAAATGATTCATATCTAGATCAGTAAGTGCACCATGATCTTGATTTATTTTAGATATTATATGGTCAACAGGTTACAGTCAGCAATCTTCTAAAATAGAGATCAGTACCAAGTCAGTCTGGTTAAGGTGGGCATATGATTTAGTGGCAAAGTAAGTAGAGAAGAGAATGCCTTCTGGCTAAATAAGCATTCTGTTAATGGTCACAGCTATTCATCACCTACTTTGCCAGTAAAGAAACTCAAACTTGCTTAGTAAAGGATTAAATGTAACAGCCAGCATTTCCTAACTTTGATGTTTATGATGATGCACGCCAGGGACATTACCATTTATAATAGTTGTACTGATGTAGAACAGGGATGTTTTAATTTCAGGAACAATAAAAAAGCTATCCTTGTGGGCTGTATGTGTGGGCAGATTTGCACTAATTAGGATAAAACAGGGAAAAAGAAGGCTACCCTCTGGTAATGAGCCGTGCATCAAGCTAAACCATCCACCTCTGCTCATGTTGCAACCTCTGACAAAAAAGATGTAATGTAGGACAAAGATCAGAGACAAAACTTGCCTTTTAAGAATAATAGCCCTGGGTTCTTCAATTAATTGCAGCAAAGAGAGAGGGTCTTGCATGAATTTCAAAAGGAAAGTAGGATCATCTGAACTGATGAACGTTCCTTAAGCTGTGCACATCTTCCTCATCAAAATAAGCCCATTATGTAGCAGGAGCAGCTGGGAGCCATTATTAATATTTAACGCTCCTAGCGGGGGTTACTGTGGGTTTCTGTATTAAGGTTACAAGACAATGTTGCAATATCATATGCTGTGGGTTTGCATTCTCAGAGCTTTGTTGGCTTTGTATAAAGCGCCAGTGAAGCTTTATTTATTCCTCTTCCCTGCCATTTGCAGAGGCTAAATATTTTTCTAATCGGGATTGTAGTGCATGATTATCCATTCTTCACTGCCTCCAGTTTTACTTATACATCACCTGCTGACTTGGTAATGTGTGTTGCAAGTCCCGTCCTAGTAGAAGCAACCTTGCACAGGAAAGGATGAAACTAGTTTGGGTCTCATAGCAAGGCCTGGCTTGTGCTATCACAGGTGTGTTCTGTTTTCTCCAACCATGTGGTTTTTGATGTGACCGCCTGGAGAGTGATGATACCAGTCAGCCTCTTCTTCCTAACCACATCTTTTGACTGATACTTGTTTTCTACCTGTGCATGTTTTAAGGGCAGATAGTTATTGAGCAATTCACAGTTGTTTTCACTGAAAATAGGCGAG